TCGTGATTAGGTCAAATTTAGGTACGTCGTGTTTAGGTCAAATTTAGGTAGGTCGTGTTTAGGTCAAATTTAGGTACGTCGTGTTTAGGTCAAATTTAGGTAGGTCGTGTTTAGGTCAAATTTAGGTAGGTCGTGTTTAGGTCAAATTTAGGTACGTCGTGATTAGGTCAAATTTAGGTACGTCGTGATTAGGTCAAATTTAGGTACGTCGTGTTTAGGTCAAATTTAGGTACGTCGTGATTAGGTCAAATTTAGGTACGTCGTGTTTAGGTCAAATTTAGGTAGGTCGTGTTTAGGTCAAATTTAGGTAGGTCGTGTTTAGGTCAAATTTAGGTACGTCGTGTTTAAGTCAAATTTAGGTACGTAGTGTTTAGGTCAAATTTAGGTAGGTTGTGTTTAGGTCAAATTTAGGTACGTCGTGTTTAGGTCAAATTTAGGTAGGTCGTGTTAAGGTCAAATTTAGGTAGGTCGTGTTTAGGTCAAATTTAGGTAGGTCGTGTTTAGGTCAAATTTAGGTACGTCGTGTTTAAGTCAAATTTAGGTACGTAGTGTTTAGGTCAAATTTAGGTAGGTCGTGTTAAGGTCAAATTTAGGTACTTCGTGTTTAGTTCAAATTTAGGTACGTCGTGTTTAGGTCAAGTTAAGGTACGTCGTGTTTAGGTCAAGTTTGGGTACTTCGTGTTTAGTTCAAATTTAGGTACGTCGTGTTTAGGTCAAGTTTAGGTACGTCGTGTTTAGGTCAAATTTAGGTACGTCGTGTTTAGGTCAAGTTTAGGTACGTCGTGTTTAGGTCAAATTTAGGTACGTCGTGTTTAGGTCAAGTTTAGGTACGTCGTGTTTTGGTCAAATTTAGGTACGTCGTGTTTAGTTCAAATTTAGGTACGTCGTTTTTAGGTCAAGTTTAGGTACGTCGTGTTTAGGTCAAATTTTATGTAGGTTGTGTTTAGGTCAAATTTAGGTACGTCGTGTTTATGTCAAATTTAGGTACGTCGTGTTTAGTTCAAATTTAGGTACGTCGTGTTTAGGTCAAATTTAGGTACGTCGTGTTTAGGTCAAATTTAGGTACGTCGTGTTTAGGTCAAATTTAGGTACGTCGTGTTTAGGTCAAATTTAGGTACGTCGTGTTTAGGTCAAGTTTAGGTACGTCGTGTTTAGGTCAAATTTAGGTACATCGTGTTTAGGTCAAATTTAGGTACATCGTGTTTAGGTCAAATTTTATGTAGGTTGTGTTTAGGTCAAATTTAGGTACATCGTGTTTAGGTCAAATTTAGGTACATCGTGTTTAGGTCAAATTTTATGTAGGTTGTGTTTAGGTCAAATTTAGGTACATCGTGTTTAGGTCAAATTTTATGTAGGTTGTGTTTAGGTCAAATTTAGGTACATGGTGTTTAGGTCAAATTTAGGTACATCGTGTTTAGGTCAAATTTTATGTAGGTTGTGTTTAGGTCAAATTTAGGTACATGGTGTTTAGGTCAAATTTAGGTACATCGTGTTTAGGTCAAATTTTATGTAGGTTGTGTTTAGGTCAAATTTAGGTACGTCGTGTTTAGGTCAAATTTAGGTACATCGTGTTTAGGTCAAATTTTATGTAGGTTGTGTTTAGGTCAAATTTAGGTACATCGTGTTTAGGTCAAATTTAGGTACGTTATGTTTAGGTCAAATTTAGGTACATCGTGTTTAGGTCAAATTTAGATACGTTATGTTTAGGTCAAATTTAGGTACGTCGTGTTTAGGTCAAATTTAGGTACGTCGTGTTTAGGTCAAATTTTATGTAGGTTGTGTTTAGGTCAAATTTAGGTACATCGTGTTTAGGTCAAATTTAGGTACGTTATGTTTAGGTCAAATTTAGGTACGTCGTGTTTAGGTCAAATTTTATGTAGGTTGTGTTTAGGTCAAATTTAGGTACGTCGTGTTTAGGTCAAATTTAGGTACGCCGTGTTTAGGTCAAAAATAGGTACGTCGTGTTTAGGTCAAATATAGGTACGTCGTGTTTAGGTCAAATTTAGGTTGATTGTATTTAGGTCAAATTTAGGTAAGTTGTGTTTAGGTCAAATTTAGGTAGGTTGTGTTTAGGTCAAATTTAGGTAGGTTGTGTTTAGGTCAAATTTAGGTAGGTTGTGTTTAGGTCAAATTTATGTAGGTTGTTTTTAGGTCAAATTTAGGTACGTCGTGTTTAGGTCAAATTTAGGTAGGTCGTGTTTAGGTCAAATTTAGTTGGGTTGTGTTTTTATATTTGTATGTTGTATTGGTGATTTTCTTCTCTATGTATGTTGTGACTACATTGTAAAATAAAAGATCATATTATCCACTGTAAAGGATCCACATTTGCCACTCAATTCCACACACAATCCGTTTGTAAATGCCTTGTGTCTTCAGCGACACTACTGCATTTACAACACACACTTAAAAAAAACAACTTTCACTCTGAATGAGAGCATAATCTCATAACTCACGAATGGAGCGATCACGTGATTTGAACAAGCCAAACATTAAACGCATCCATGTCTTATCCTATTTATAGTTTTACCCCCCACCCCCCGTTACCTTAACCTTTTTTAAAAGCCCCCGTCTGCACCACCCCCCCCCCCAAAACTGACTCCTCACCCAAACGTTACTCGTCCAGCTACGCCCCTGACTGCCAGCACTGTACCTTTTTTCAAAGCCCCCGTCTGCACCCCCCCCCCCCCCAAAACTGACTCCTCACCCAAACGTTACTCGTCCAGCTACGCCCCTGACTGCCAGCACTGCCTGGTCAAGCTGCTCGTCCTCGGCTGGTCCGTGTTCGCCCTGAACCTCTTCTCCCTCCTGCTCGTCTCCGCCACCGAGGGCTGCGTCTTCGCGAGTGTCGTGGGCTGCCTGTCCGCGCCCCTGGCCACCGCCTTCTGGTCGCTGTTCCACTACGATTACGACTCTGACGTCATCAGCTGGAGGCCTGGCTGGACACATACGTCAGGTGAGGATTTTTAAAAAAAATATTTTTTTTTCCCTCCTACCAACCAGTGACTACAATCAGCGTGTTCTCCAACAGAGACCGACACAATCATAACATTATAATTTTTTTTAATGACTAAACTATAAATAGCTCGACAAAACATTGTCGGTGCCGATCCGCGAGCTTCCCATCTATTAAACACACTTGACCAAAGCCTGGCAACCGAGTAACGCATTTTATAAGAATCGCAATGGTCATTAGCTTCTGGGAGTTTTATATTGCTGGCTTATTTAACACGGCGCAGTCTATTGAGAACACCATCATCACAGCCATGCATAACTGACATACCCAGAGAATTAGTATTAAATACACGTTCACTTTGTACATTCCAGATGTTCATTTATTTATTTTTTAAAATAGTTTTAATTTTAGTTTTATAACATCTTATCTTCCAATTTAAAATATTGTCTTTGAATTGTATCCTTGTTTTAAAAATAAACTTGACATCACTTTTAAACGTGTCACTTTTATTCTCTCCCCTTCCAATCCCGATCATGGCCTTGACCTCTCCGTGACCACACGATTCCCGACACGACCACGTTCAACTTTTTTGACCATAATCATTGGTATTTTAACGTGACCCCCGATACCTTTAACGTGACCGCGTTAATTCACCAACGTGACAACTCTCATTAACAACGTGTTTTGAAATCCCTGAATACATCTTTTGACTTGTCACTCACAACCCCGTTCAAATCGCGACCCCCTTAATTGACCATGATCCCTGAAACCCCCGAATCTTTCCACACGTACCCTCCAAATTGACCCCATGCCTCCTGCTTTGTTCCTGCACGCTGCCTCCCCCCCCCACCCTTTTTACAGCCTTCACACTGGCCAGTGCCTGTCTGCTCCTGCCCGCAGTCATCGCCTACAACGTCTTTGCCATCAAGGATGTCAAGGACGCCAAGAAAGAGGAGAAAGGATATTCGGACGTCTCGAGCTCCGAGTACGAATGGGATTAGAGGCTACGGCATCAGGGGTTCCAACACTGTCGGAGTTGGGATACGTGTCCTAACGAGCGAAAATGTGCGATGCGGAAGACCACCCTTTTAAAAAAAATAAAAAAATACCTGACACCTGATAAGGAAAAAAATGGCGCCCTTTTCGTGGAGGGTGTGAGTGTGTACTTCACATCCTGAACACTTGTTATAAGCTTTATGAGAACCTCTTTGAACAAACAAATAGACCAAGAACTGCTAAATAACGATGGATCATCTAGAACACAAATGTGCCATATTAAGGATCGGAGAACTTGATTCGTGCGCACCAGGCCCGCATTGTCTTCATGAGTATCTTTAGTGTGACTTGTTTGTTAATGGTGTTTCTAATGGTGTTTGCAATGGTGTGTAGTGTTTTTATAATGTAGTTTGTCATGGTGTTTTTAATGGTGTTTGCAATGGTTTTTGTCTTGGTGTTTTAATGGTGATTGTCAGGGTGTTTTATAATGGTGTTTGTAGTGTTGTTTGCAATGGTGTGTAATGTTGTTTGTAATGGTGTTTATAATGGTGTTTTAATGGTGTTTGCAGTTGTGTGCAATGTTGGTTGTAATGATGTTTACAGTAGTGTTTGTAATGGTGTTTGTAATTTAAATTAAACCCTATCATGCTTTCATCTCTCGCTCAAGTATTTGTTTAATTCGAATGGTCACAAATTAAAAATAAACAAACAATCAAATTGTATTTATAAAGTGATATTAGGGCTGACGTGTAGACAAGTGTGCTACATTAGTGTGTAGGTCAGTTGTTTTAGACAAGTGTGTTAGACAAGTGTGCTGCATAAGTGTGTAGGTCAGTTGTTTTAGACAAGTGTGTTAGTCAAGTGTGTTGCATTAGTGTGTAGGTCAGGTGTTTTAGACAAGTGTGTTAGACAAGTGTGTTAGACAAGTGTGTTAGACAAGTGTGTTAGACACGTGTGCTGCATTAGTGTGTAGGTCAGGTGTTTTAGAAAAGTGTGTTAGACAGGAGTGTTAGACAGGTGTGTTAGACAGGTGTGTTAGACAGGTGTGTTAGACAGGAGTGTTAGACAGGTGTGTTAGACAGGTGTGTTAGACAGGTGTTTAGCATAAGTATGTTCCCTTTATGTCGTTTGTCACAAGTATTAAATCAATTATAATGTATTTATTATGTTTGTGTGTTTTATTTTAATGTTTTGTATTGATATTATTTATATTATATTATCCTAAGAACTGACCAGCCCAACAATGGCGGTGACAATGCGTGAACGTCCCATCGACTATAGTGACTTGTCAATATATGCCTTCAAGTAACGCACTTTATTTTTTTCTTCTCGTTCTCTCTCTCTCTCTCTCTCTCTCTCTCTCTCTCTCTCTCTATATATATATATATATATATATATATATATATATATATATATATATGTATATATATATATATATATATATATATATATACATATATATATATATATATATATATATATATATATATATATATATATATATATATATATATATATCCCTCTCTGTCTCCATCTCTCTCTCTCCTTATCTCACTCTCTGTCTCCCTCTCTCTCTCTCTGTCTCTGACTCGCCCTCACCCTGCCTCTCCCATTCTTCCCTTCCACTCTGTCACCCACCACTTGCTCTCTATTCTCCTTCCATTCTGTAATTCTCTTTACCCCCTCTCTCTCTTTCCCTCTCTCTCTTTCTCTCTCTCTCTCTCTCTCTCTCTTTCACTCTCTCTCTCTCTCACTTTCCCTCTCTCTTTCTCCCTCTCTCTCTCTGTAGCCCTCTTTCTCTCTCGATCCCTTTTCTCTCCTCCTCTCTCATTATTTCCCTTCCACTATGTCATCCATCACTTGCTCTGTATTCCTCCCCCCTCTATTTATTTTCCCCCACTCCCTTTCCCTCGCCTGGATATCCCATTCTTACACCCTCCCACGGTCCTCTCTCCCCCTCTCCGTCCACCACTTTCTCTTTATTCCTCTCACCCGCTTTATAAGAACTGTTTCCACAATAAATGTATCAATCTCCCAATTTCTAACCATCTCATTAATAACTCTTTTTTTGTTGAATTGATCATTTGATTGTTTTTACCCCATTTGCCTTTGTGAAGCATTACTTCAAAGCTAATAACAACAATTATAAGAAATTCATATCGGTTAGTCCATGTAAACTATGAAACTGTTATTCCATTATATAACTGTTTACCGTTGTTGACCATTAAGCCACTAAGCACCTTCTAAGCTGATGCACACTATTAAAGGATATATCAAAATTGTTTTTGGTGTCGCATTTATTGTATACACGTGTAAATGTATTGTATGGTCCACCATGACGTCATCTTGTATCCTATCCGGTCACAGCTTGCAAAAGCAGACCTGTTTACCCCTGGGTGGGTGTCAAGAGGAAATTTCATCTCTCAAAAACTTAGTTTCAAGCTCCAAAGAGTAGTTTGGTCAAAAGGAGAAGGGTGGGTGGAGGAAAGGGGGAAAAGAGGGGGGGGGGCTGGTTTTCAATCAAAATACACGTTGTATACAAACGAAAAAAAACTACCAATAACGTAGTTTGTTTAGGCTCGTCGTAGTGCCGTAGTCTTAGGCTCGTCGTAGTGCCGTACTCTTAAGCTAAAAAAAAGCAAGTACTACGGCGAAAGCATAGTCTTAAACAGATCTGCAAAAAAGACGTCGACCCTCTGCTGGCCACTGGCTTTAGATGAGAGATCAACCTACAGGTGCAACACACTATTGAACACAGGCGCGACATACTATTAAACCCAGGTGTAACACACTAATGAAAACATGCGTGACACACTTATGAACGCACGTGCAATACATTAATTAACACATCGGCAATACGCTTTCGAACATATGTTCAACAATTTAGCGAACGCCTGCGTAACATATGTTGCCGTTGGTATGTTGGTGTTTGTTAAGTGTGTGTTTACGTTTGTATGTGGATGTATGTCGACTTTGGCATGTGTTAACGGGGACTGGCGGACTACACCGTCCGGATAGCCAACCAGGTCAATCGGCACGCATGCGCAGGACCTGTCGACGGAGTGTGCATGGACAGTGTGTTCCTGAGGCAAGCACAGAGTCAACATTAATGAGAATTTGTATTATATCTTCATATTTATGTCAATGTTTATTGTTCGAAATGAAAAATATAAAAACATAACAGTATGTTGGTGCTTGTTTTTTTTTGTATATTAACTATTTGTAAATGTATCAGTTAATGTTAAAATAATTATGCAAAAGCAACATTTTAACAAATTCAATCACTTGTTGAAATAATAGGTCTGAAAACCACACCTGTACAGTATGAGAATAATTAATTACCAACTATTTTGTACATTATATTTTGTAAAATTATTTTGTACTGTATACGGGTAAATTCAGAGCGTAATGCTCTAGTACAAATTATGCAAACTTTCGGTAGGAAATTATTTTTAAAAGTATATGCATAATTAAGTGCCAATGAAATCTGTGCAGTATGTAAATAATTTATTAATAAACTTGGCACATGACTGAACGCCAGCAATCAATTATGGCTGTTGTCCTCAATTTTTTAGCTTAACAACCATGCCAAAGCTTTACAATTTTAATGTAAAAATAGACCCATAATAAATACAGCAGTTGATGTAGACCAGTGTATCCCAATATGTGTTTTTTCGGAGCCAATCATTGACACAACTCCTAACGAATTGCAGCTTGTAAGATATGTGGTTTGTCCTAAAGGGCTTTCCAATAGAATTTGATTCTAAATAGGGATGGGGACCACCGATCTAAAAAAAACAATACAAAAAAAACAAAAAAACATGCATTCCTCAAAATACAGATTTGAAGGTTAATTCATTTTTTATCAATTGAATAAATGTTGTTTTCGACAAAAAATTCTTTAACAACTTCAAAGAAACTTTTTTTTTTTTTTTTTTTTTAAATTTTTTGGTTTCTTTTGGAAAATAAAAACAACAAAAACAAAAGAAGCTGAACAAAATTGAAATCAAAAAATTTGTTTAAATTGGACAATAACAACAACAACAACAACAGCAGCTGAACAAAATTGAAATCAACAAATTTGTTTAAAATATGTCGTTATGTCAGCGGTTCTGAAACGATGTGGAGACATCAGAATAATATGTATGAAAGATCGAACTCGGTGATGTGACTTCTAGTGCAACTGCCGAATAGGGAGAGAATCACTTTCGAGGCGGGAAATATAGAAGAGGCGTTGCCAGCACCACAGACAGAAGGAAATGCTCGAGACCTTGTTTCACCTTAACTTAAATAATGACAGGAGCGACAATTTTTCAACACATACAACAATACTAAGCCCCACCGATACTATCATAGCACTACATACAACAATACCAATCATTACATTGATAGGATTACAATACCAGCAATTTGGAAAACTTCAGAAATTTCTTCATCTGCGATAAAGAAGTATTGACAGAAGAAGCTCATGGTCAATCACATCAAAAGCAGCACTGAGATCCAACAAGACCAAAATTTTCAGATCGCCACGGTCAGCACTACAAAGAAACATCATTCATGACACGGGGCAGTGCTGTCTCACAGCTGTGCCCAGGTCGATGTGCAGATTGGAATTTGTCAAGCAAGTCATAAGTGTTTAGATGGTGCACAAGCTGGTGTGACACAACTCTCTCAAGATCGGAAGAAAACGCTTGCAGTCATTTTGGGTCCAGGCCACATTTTTTAAGCTGTGGCTAAACGACCGCTGTCTTAAAAGACGTAGCTGAAGGCTAACATCAACGATGTTGACAAGTACAGAAAGCAAGACTTCCAGACAATCCAAAACAATCCTGCTTGGGATGGGGTCAACAATAGAAGATGTAGGTTTAGATGCCATGATTAGATGTGTTAATTCCTCATGGGAAACTGGGGAAAATTCCACCAGACGGTTGCCTTCAAAGACGTTCTCCTCTGCAGACAAATCACAACGTTCCCCAAAGCTCCTTCTGATTGTTTTAATCTTGTC